TTAATAAAACTATCGACACTAAAAAAATATTGTAATGTATTCAGCCCTTTTTAACGTCCCGCTGCTGAGCCCCGTGTCATATTGTCCTTTCAATACCAGGAGGACAAAAAAAGTAGAATCAGCAAATTCTTGCATTATTACTTTAAAATAAAGTTTAATTTTTTCTTTTAGGCTTACATGAAAATAGTAAGATTTGTGATCGTACCAAATGCTATAAAAGATAGTATGGAACGGAATACGAAGTGCAAGGAAATAATTAATCATTCTATAAAATATATATTTAAATATTCATAAAACTTAGATTTAAGAATCAGAAGGAAAAATCGATCTTTTCATCTTTAACGTCAGTCAAATTGTTTATTTCTTTTAGTTTATTAATTATTGAAAATAACTTACAGATTTACATCGCTTCGTCTCCTCCGAAAAGAAAATGTATCTTTTATTTTAAAAAAATCCATTCTGTATTAAAATTAAAACCTTTAGTTAATATATCAAGCCACTTATTGATATACTTAATAATAATTTATTGTAGAAAGATATTAATATATTTACATTTGCGTCCTTTTTACGACACATTATTATCTTATCAATTCAATTTATGATAAAAAAATTATAATCCGAGATTTAAGTGATCCGACATTGATCAATGAACATAGTTTAGTATTATTGTATTACATGTAAACAATTTTATATGTAACATAGGTAATAATAAACTTATAACTAGCAACGTAGTATACTCGTAATATGTGTCTCCTAAAATACCTACACTCATGTATATTTTTAGGAAATAGGTAGGTAGATACTAATGATTAATAATAATTCAGTTTCATTATTACCACACTTGTACTTTTTAAATGCTGTCTAATACTCCTAACCAGCTTTATTGGAAAATGTTTAATAGATACAATATAAAATTCACAATCCATACTTAATATTATAAATGTGAAAGTGTGTTTGTTTCTTTGCCCTTTTTTCAAGTTGAAACAGAGTGATGGATTGGTGTGATTTTTTCGTGTGAATGTGCAGATAGTTGAAGGGCTGGAGAGTGACATAGGTTTCTTTTTACCACGGAAGATTATTTTATTCCCACGAGAAAACACGTTACAATACAACCCACAACAACTCATAAATACATACACACAAAAGCAAATCTTTTCTATACAGATAAATAAAATTGAAGTGTCTGTTTGTAATGTCAAAATAATAGCTTCTTACTAAATGCATATGAAATTATAAATACGGTACTTTATGAGAAAAACTTAATTTTTAAAATGTTTGTCTATCTGTCGGTCCATTTGTTCCGGCTAATCTCTGAAACGGATGGACTGATTTTGGCTAGACTTTCATTGGCTGATAGCTGTTGTTATAAAGAGAAACTTAGGCTACTTTTTTTTAGAAAAAGAATTAAGGGTTCCGTTCAAAAAACGTACCTAAGAACGCACCCGAGCGAAACAATTATCCTTGTATCGCTCGTTACAAATAAAACAATAGTAAATTTTACAGGTTCTTTTGCTTTTCAAGATTCACATCTGTTTAAAATTGGTTTTATAGTCGCAACTTTAAAGTATGTATGTTTTATCTTCGTTGTCTGTTTGTCTTGTAATATATTATGACTGCATATTATTATGTATACTACTGATCCATCGTCAGTTTGTTTCCATCTTTTTAGTTCGTTTTTTACGCAGTCGGGTTTTGTTTATATATTATTTAATCGGGTTTATTTGTGCAAAATCAATAAAAGACAAATATAGATCTCGAAAAGATATATTCTGCATATAAAAAAATCTCTACGTAAAGGAAATTGCAACAATACGTTCTTAAATATTTTTTTTTGTAATTTCACTAATTAATGAAAAATCAGATATTCGTCAATGAGTTTATATTGCGTAATTATAGATGGCACTGTGTAAATTTTATTTAAAAAAAAACGGTAAAAAATGTTTAAAAATGGTTGGACACACGATAAGTTATTAATAATGACTCATTATATGTATATTATAATTTATAAAATGTGAAAGTTTGTGAGTATGGATGTTTGTTACTCTTTCACGCCAGAATGGCTGAACGTATCTGGATGAAATTTGGTACAGAGATAGATTATTGTCTGAAATAACACACAGGCTACTTTTTATACCGGAAAAAATTACGGTTTCCGTGGGATAGGTTTGTTTTTGTTTTCCTTTAGTATAATATATTTTAGTAGATACATATGAAATAATAAAATAGTAGGACAGTTTGGGATCAATGCCATCTATCGTTATGCATATGAAAATAAACAAAGCTAGAACAACAGTCGTCCGATTTCTTTAAATAATAAGTGGCATTAATTGTACTATGGGGACTGTTCCTTAGGGGGTAAGTCATTCCTTAAGGGGGTGAAAATGGGGATGAAAGTTTGTATGGGGATGAAAGTTTTTATGGGGAATCAAGCTAAGGACTAACCCGAGCGAAGCGAGGATGAGTCGCTAGTGATGAAGAAGCTCGTTAGGTAAAAGAGAAACCCATTTTCGGGTCCTGATAACTAGGAATCAATAATATATCAAAAAAGTCCATTTTTTTTATTATTCCATTAAAATCTTAATTTTATTTGCAACGACCAAGTCAAGGAAAAAATGCATTTTCGATATTGCTTAATGCTATAAATATACATAACCAAAAAATAACTAAACGGAGGTTTTCATTTAGAATAGATACCTAATCAGATATTTTCGAAGTCGGTGCCAGCCACAGAAATCTTAATAATATTACCTTATTATTAAGATTTCTGTGGTGCCAGCCTACAATATTTTAGGATATTAATATGTATCAATAGGTAAATATGTATTTCACGCATCGAAATATATTAGATTTGCTTCGCATCGGCTGGCACCGACTTATGTATTTTACTAGGTATCTATTCTAAATAAAAATCTCCGTTTAATTTTTTTTTCATTTTAGTGCCTGGAAGTCGGTATTTTGTTTTAATTTTGATTATTGCTTACTACGAGCACACCATGTGTAAGTAATCATCATATGAACCAGTGATAATAAGCACAAGTTTTATACTAGCTGCGAGTCTTGCTACGTGTACTAGTATAGTATTTTATGGGTGTATGTATGGATTGGATGTGAAAGTATGATGGATGTTCAGGATTTTAATTTTTGTATTTTTTTTTAAATAAAATCCGTTAGCTATTTTTTTATTAACAATTATTTATCACAGTAATGAGTATTCTATTATTATTTGTATAATGTTTTAAAATATTATATTATAGTATTTTCAAACATTATTGTTAGGCTTCATGTTAAGTTTTAAGACACTCGGTCTTTATTTTTCCTTGATTATTTAAATACTATATTTGAGTGCAATGGATATTATAAACAAGTTTGGATAAGACACTATAGTCTGAACAATTTGAGGTGAGATAACTTTTCATATTTTAATTTAATATTTGTGATTACTTTAGAATTTAGATGTTTCTTATTATTTGAATATCTTGATTTCATTGTCTATAATTTGCTTCGTACTTACTATATTTAATTCAAAATTTACAACTTTTAATTCATGTAGGCCCGTCAAATAAGTACAATAAAACTACACTTTATTTAAACTACTGTAGAGTTGAGTAGGTATTTTTTTAAACGGGTTGACAAATTGTACGCAATGAGGAAAAATTTTGCCTTTTTCTCCCGCTAGATGTCGCGATCACTATAGCCCAGTATATTGTAAAGCTCTATAGCGAGGACGGATTTTTTTGTGACAAATTGTGCAGTGCCAAGATGCAAAGAAAATGAATATCATTGATTCCCATAAGACAAAAACTGAAGAAATTGTGGGCTAAAGCAATAAGATGACCAAAATTGGCGAAATCACAATCTTTATATTTAAGGCTCTGTGGACATCATTTTAAAGAAAGTGATTTTAAAACTTTTAAATCGTCTACAAGTGAATGTGTATTTTTTATTTTTTTTACTTTTTACATATTAATTACGGATTTTGATACAAATTTTCATTCCCTATTTTATTCCCATATTGGATTGAATTTCGAAAAATACTAAAACACATATTTATTTAATTGTATTGATGTGCATTAATACCAAGTTTCAAGTTTTACCGATCATAAATAATTCTTGTCCATATAAACTTTATTACGCCTTTGAGGGATGCGTTTCGAAAAAAAATCTAATAAATATATTTCTTTTTTTTAATCTTAAAGCTAAACACCACTTTCTGTGTATTTCACATTAAGAATGTTGAATGAACAGAGTTTCATACAACCTTTACCCCTTATTTTACCCACTAAAAGCATTAATTTCTAAAAAATCTTACTTATTGGATGTCTACATCATATAAAGAATACGTGCTCCAAATTTCACGTTTCTACAACCAGCAGTTTAGGCTGTGTGTTGATCCATCAGTCAGACAGAACCACCACAGGATCCACCTCCTTTTCTCAATTCTTCCTTCAGCTGGTTTAATTTCCAGGTACAATACATTGCACAGGTAAGATGCGAACATAATTAAAGTAAAAAAAACAGGTACATATAAAAGAGAAATGATAATAAATTGCTTAAACTCAGAATGAATGTAAATAGGCCATACGCGTGACGCCCTTCTTTCGGGAAATCCTACCCATTATTGCCTGTTACAACAGATAATATTATATAATTATACTTGTGATTCAGTGATAAAATACCAAATAAAATCATAATTTCTGAATATGTATATTATAGGTAGATCATTATATTTATACAGTTTATCTTGCCATCTATTGTCGAGTTAAATTAATAATTTATACATTTTTCTCGTACTCTGGCTGTCCTCGAAATACCACTATTCGCCGGTAGAGGCGCTGCTTGTTAGCGTCGCGTCGCCTCAGTCCTCACTCCTCAAACTAAGGAAATCTATTAATGGTGGCGCTAATGTCACATAATAGTGAGCTGTTTTTACGGTAGTGTTATTATAAAGAGGTTATGTAGAAAATATATGATAAAAGAAGTATCAAAAATAATACCTCAAAATGGAGAAGAGGAAAGAGTCTTTGAATATAGTGAAAATGTGCCGATTTTGCCTCACTCAAAATGAATCATTAGAAAGTTTGTATGACAGGAACCGATCAGGAAAGAATTCTCATAATCTACATTTAAAAATTTTATCGTGTGTCTCTATTGAGGTAAGTACATGGGAAAATATTTTGCCTTTTATATTCCTAAGTATATAAAGTTTGATAAATGAAAATGGACGCCAACTATGGTTATATGTTTTGTCTACATGGCGTAATGGCGTCTAACGTCTATTAGATTATACAAAGATAAAATTAACATTGTAACAACCATGCAATACATAACAAATAAAATTTGTGTTTAGATAAATAAATTATCGAACACTAAATATATTATTTGTAGTTAACTTCTGTCACTATTTGTATTTTGTACTTTAATGATTAACGCCACCTAGCGAGATATGTGACATAATGTATAATATTTAATAATATAACAATATAATTAATTTTCTTTTAGATATATCCATCAGACAAAATGCCAACATTTATTTGTGAACGCTGTAAATTCTTTATGAACCTTTTCTATGAATATAAACAGATAGTTCGCCAGGCTGATGAAACAATCTTACAATATATACAACATAATTCTCCAATGGAAATTGTTACATGGCCCACAACCCTTTCTAAAGTAAGCTTTTATCATTATATTTAATTTTGTTCAACAATATACATACAGGAAGTATTTAACATTGCATTAAATACTATAAAAATGATTAGAAATTATATTAAATATTCATCTATCATATTTTACTTAAACACTGATAAATAATATATACATTAGATATATTTTACCTGGTAGATGTTAGTCAAACAAGTAATATATGTATATAAAAAATAAAGTTAGTATGTTAACTTTTACAAATGAATATTTTAGGTATATCGGAAAATGAATGAAATTGATATTGTCAAAACACTCGAAGGTGGTGCTACTGTACAAGTTTCTTCTCATGATAACTCAGACACTGATGAAGAAGATGGAAATGTTTATAATATAAAGGTGAACACAATCCAATGTTAATTTGCTTTTTATTTATTTTTTGATAAAAAATAAACAACAAAAACAACAATAAGATTAAAAACTGTTTTGGTGTAAAGAGCTATAATGAAATATTAAATTTTAAGATTGGTGATGGTCCTGGTAATGAAACAAAAACTGCTTGCGTTAAAATTATAACAAGTAAAGACAGCAAGGAAATGAAAGAAGTTATTGAAGATACTAATATAAGGGGTAAAGGTAAACTTGTGAAGCGCTACTTTTATTATTTTCAAAAAATGTTTTTTTATTTGCATTATTTATAAATTAATAAGTAGTCAATGCGTGTGTTCATAGCTATTCAATGAATGTTTTACTTTAATATTTGTTTGTGTTACTTTAAATATTAAGCAATAAGATACAGAAATAAAATGCTTCATGGATTTCATCTGTCATTATACAGAGTAATTCATTATACAAATTAATGATATTAGCATGGTAAAATTTTTAGTTTGCTATACTTGAATTCAAGTATTGTGTGCATGTGTTCAAATATTCACCATTTAGTATATCATAAAACAATTCTGTCTGCAGTTTCTACAGGTAAGAAGCATTTCTTTACTTACCTTTTATGAAATAAATTTATATGACTATGTATTTTATTATTGCTATTATACTAAAAACAGAGCAGCGTGAGAAAGACACATCTGAAAAAGGATTGGAAGATGGTTGTTGGGCCTGCGATGAGTGTGACTGCACATATCCTCTGCAACAATTGCTAGAACTTCACAAATCCCAAAAACACAGAGAGCGTACAGTGGAATGTGAGCAATGTGATGCGTAAGTATCATTGTCTTTTACACTTTTTGAATATACATATTGTGCTTTTAATGTAAAATTTTATTGCAATAAAAAGTAGAGTATATTACTATTAACAGATGTATTAACATGAAAAAATTATATATATTTATTTTATAATACTAACGACTCACCATTGCTTCACTCAGGTTTGTCCCTAGCTTGCTTCCCAATACAAACTTTCATATTCATTCTCACCCCCTTAACGGATAATTTCGGGGATAAAAACTATTTCACTCACTTTTCATATCATGAGATTTAAAAAAATGTTATTTTAGTAAAAAAAAATCTTTCAATTTTCTTGTATACAAAGCTGTCCTGACAATAACAAACACAAAAAAAATTATCCAATTTAGTCGATCGGAAGTTATGCGCGTACATACATTTTGGTGATTCATTTTTATTTATATAGATAACAACACATTTAATATAAAATAAAATATACTTTTATTATATCATTATATACTTTATCTTATTGTTTCAGGAAATTTTTCACAAAATATGATTTATCAACACATGTACTGAGGCACACAGATGAAATGCCATTCCAGTGTGTTGCTTGTGACAAAAAGTTCAAGCGACATATCCTCCTAAAACGACATGAAAAAGTAAGTGTTACTCGACTACAAGCACAAAGATTGCTCAATGATATTGTCTATTGATAATCTCTAATAACTTTTTTATGTTTTGTGTATATGACATGAAAATAATATAAATTTTGTTTTTATAACAAATTATAATAAAAACATATATAATTCCTTTATAATGAATATATCTTAAGTTTTACACCAATTAACTAATGTTTTCAGCTCATTCATTCAGACTTACCCCAACAAGTATGTCCCAATTGTCCGGCTTCTTTCTTATCTATAGAAGAGTTGGAGACTCATAAAAAGAAGCATATTCGCGTTCTTCGACCATTCATTTGCAACATGTGTGACAAAAAGTGAGCTTTCTGGTTTACATTTGAAATTTACTAAATATAAAAATATATTGTTTGGCTCAGAGTCTATCTATCATAAATGCTAAAATTTTTATGTTTTTGTGTGTTTATTTGTTACTTCTTCAGACTGAATTGACTGGACGGATTTTGATAAAAGTTGTTCTTAAATATAGACAAACTGGAATAACATATTGGCTTAGTTGTTATACTTAGAGCGAACCCGAGTGAAGCCAGGATAAGTCGCTAGTATATAAAAAAATAAGATCTAGATAAAGAAAAACCAAGAAGAATTTACAAGATAATATCCTTTTTAATGTATTTAATAGTTTTTTTTTGAAATAACCGATATGTATTTCTTTTTCTTGTAACAGATTCCACGAAAAGTCGACACTGCAAAGACATATAGATGTCGTACACAACAAAGCAGCCACTCACTGTTGCGAGTACTGCCCCGAGCGTGAGTCGTGTGTGTGACTTACAGATACAAAACCTTACACTAGCTATGAACATGCGCAATTATTTTTACTAACAGCAATCCACGATATCACATATAATAAATTACATTATATGCGGTATTCTAGAACATTTTGAGATTTTTAATATGTTTGTGTTTTCAGGGTTTGTGTCTGTGTCCAAGTTAGCAAGACATGTGCGGTCTCACGCGGGTGAACGCCCCTACCCATGCAAGTTTTGTGATAAGACCTTTACGAAATCACATCATTATACGAGGTAAGCTTATTATAACTCTTGAACATATTAATGTATGGCTAGGCGTCAGAATACTATTATAAATACGGAAGTTTCTATGAGTATGTGTGTACATTTGTTTCTCTTTAGCGCTGAAACGTCTGGACGGATTTCGATAAAATTTTGTACACAAATAGACTATGACTATGAGATTATGTTAGAAAAATTTGCCAAAAGAAAAGGTGGCTCTAACTAACTTTAGATAAAAAGGCACCTTGGGACGCACTTGATCGAGGCGAGAGTAAGTTAAATTATATCGTACTAACATTGCCCGCGGCTTCGCCCGCGTTCACATGACCAAAAACCAAATTTTTAGGTTTTACATATTAGTTTACCTACTCTTACATTGTAGTTGTTGAATTTTTTCTCAAAAATGAGATATTTTTCCGCGGTAAAAAGTATCTTATATGTTGACCCGGATAACCAGCCATTATCATACCAAATTTCATCAAAATCCCTCCAGTGGTTTTTCCGTGAGGCGGTAACAGACAAAAATTCTAAAAACTATAGATTCGGTCTCTGTATCGATAATAATGTCTATTTCAATAGGATTTTCCAAAACATAATGTACAGATTCGGCTTAGTTACAATTTTATTATATGTATAGATTAGGCATATATGTATTTTATTTTTATTATTTTTTTTTTATTTACGTTATTTATGTATGTTACATTTATAATGGGTTTGGTAAGTTTATATGAAGAAAGGATAATTCGGATTTCGAATTCAGTTACTTGCATTGCTAATATCCATACTAATATTATAAATGTGATAGTGTGTTTGTTTGTCCTACTTTCATGTCGAAACAGAGTGATGGATTGGGGTGATATTTTGAGTGGAGATAGTTGGAGGTCTGGAGAGTGGCAAAAGCTATTTTTATCACGGGAGACATCTCATTTCCACGGGAAAATACGTTATAATGCAACCCACAACAACTCATCATACCTATGTATATATATAACTAGCAATTCATCATTCGTGTCTAGTTTGATTCTCCATACAAACTTTCATCCCTATTTTCGCCTCCTCAAGGGATGATTTCCGGGATAAAAATTTCATTTAAATTGAACCAATTAGATCCAGAGATTACCCCCTACAACATCACACACTCACAAATATTACCTCTTTATAATATTAGTATAGATATATGTACGTAGTTTATCTATTCCATATTAACCGTTAAATACTACTTCTTCTCTTCTTTAAATACTATTTCTAAATCTTGAATACAATTACAGGCACTTGCGTCAAACGCACCGCGAGACGATACGCGCCGGCCGCGGGCCCTTCGGCGAGAGCGAGCAGTACCGCTGCGAGCAGTGCGGCGACGCCTTCTCCACGCAGGACGACCTCATCTACCACTCCGCCATACACGCCACGCAGAACCTCACGTGCCCGCTCTGCCAGGAGAAGTTCGAGGATGTGGACGCTGTCACTGCACATATTAAGTCGCATGTTAATGGTATGATAGCGTTTGATTGCGTTATTATATTTAATAAAATTGAAGCCTGGATTCGCTAAGTTACATATAGTACAGGTATGTATATTCACAAAAATACACAAGTATTAGTAGGGGAGCCCAAGAGGGGATTTTTGGAGTTACTCAAGCGCGGCCGATTAACATAAGGGTGGACCTTGCACTCTGTTGATTACTTCCACCGTAATGTAAGTCCTCCTCTATATAAGAGCGCGCGTCTAAGGCAGCCGATGAAAATATTTTAAAAATATTTGATTAGGTAGAAATATTTGAAACCGTCGGATTAAGATATGGTGGGCTAATTACATATTGAAAAGTGTGCAAATCAATAATCTGCCGATTTCCACAAGTCGTAGCTGCAAAGTAACTTTATAGTCGATATAAAAACAGTTATGTTAAATCTTAAAATATAATTAATAATTTTGCAGGTGTAGAGTTTATGTGTGACTACTGTGAACTGGTTTTCACTACAAAAGAAAAACTTGACAACCACCAAGTGATAGTGCACGAAGAGGAAATACAGAGTGTCAGTATATTAGCACACATTTAATTTACGAAATCAAAAAATAAGAAGAATTTTATATGTTTAACATTCAGAATACTAATTATAGAATATTATTATTACTCTTTTAAGAATACAACACACAAAGTCTGAGTGTAAATTTTAAACATAATTATTTAGTAAAATAATATTAAAAGTAACACTTTTTGTAAGCACTTTATTTTACCTACCTTTCAATTTCTGCAATTTGCTTGTAATTTCTACAGGAAACATGTCCAGACGAGTCGTCAATAGAGATTGTGGGGGACGATGAAGAGGATGACAATGGAATAAATGGTACGATTCTTTTGTTGATGACGTCATAATCATTGTTTTATATGAATATTAAAAACACTGTTTTTGTTATACACATTTGTTACACGCATAAAAACTATCATGCCTTACATAGATAAAATATCTTTGACTCTAAGAAAAAGCTAATATTTCAATATTATCATATTGATATAATAGTGACTTACCCTCGCTTCGTCCGTGTGCGTCGTTCCCTAGGTACGATTTTGTTCACAATTTCATGGGCTTTCTATATATTTATGCCCGGAACTCTAATTCTTTTTCTAAAATAAAAGTAGCCTAAATTACTCCTTACAACATCAGTTATCTACCAGTAAAAGTCACGTCAAAATCAGTTTCACAGATTAGTTGGAACAAACAGTCAGACAAAAATTTAAACAATTGTTTTTTCTTATTAGTACTGTATATACATACTTTCATATGCGAGTAAACGATCTGTGATAAGGACCCTGGGTCCTTTGCGCGATAGCAATGGCGCGATAAATAACAGCATTCGCAGCAGTTAGACAGGCGGCCTGTCGTAAAACTTTTGCCAAAACCAATCGACTACTCTCCCATTGTATTTATTTATAACTGTGATATTTATTTTATTTGCAGTAAAAGAAGAGGGTGATCACATGATAATCGAGATTAAAAAAGCAGATGAGTTTATGGTAAGCAAAGTAAACTTTTTGATTTTGGGTAAATGAGACATTGAAATACTTTTGAAATTGGTTTATTACTTTTGCAGATTAACAACGCAAAAGAAGAGCCTGAAGAAAAACCCGAAGCTATAAATTCTGAAGGTAAAAATGTTTGTACTGTTAATATAATAACTAGAGATTAAACAGATATCCGGCAACTATCCGGTTTTTGGCCTTATTTTGCTATCCGGCCGGACACCAGGTAGTAAGTCCACATCCGGCCGAATGTTGGATATTGTAAAAATACAATTATTCCTAAAAAAGACTGTAAGAGAAAAACATTAAAATGCAAATAATGCAAAACAGTAACGGTTAACAATTGACTTTCTCTAATCACTTAAGTCACGATAACTCCAGAATCGTCCAAAATCCGAATTCTTCCGATAAAATATTATGCGCTTGTCGCAAAATTCAACATGATAACAATGAGATATCTGTTATCCGGCCAAACAAATATTCATTTCATCGCCAATAATAACTAAGTAAATTTTATATAATAACGATTATAGAAAGCGAGGCGGAAACAACGTATGCGGAGTTATCGACGGTAGATACGCTAGCGTTAGTGAATAAAAATCCTGTCAAAGTTGTTCAAGAAAAGCCTGCACCTGCACCTGTAATAGTAGCACAAAAAGAACTCTCTAAACCTGTGACAGCCAAAGTTAAAGACAATCAGGTATGTTACTGTTCCAAAAATGGAGATTATATATATTTTTTATGAATATTTCAATATTTATTTCTTTTGATTGTCATAATCCTATTACATTTTTTAAACACTAATGACAAAGTATGTATGTTCTATTTTATTAAATTTTTGGTATCCTCTTAATTTCGATTTATTATATTATTATTATTAATTATTATTTTTAAATACATATGTACAAACTATTTTGATTTTTAACAGTGGCATTAGTTTTTTTTTTCTCTTTTGTGTCGTTGAAAAGCTTGAAATTGAAAATAATAAAATTTTGATCATTTATCACTTTTTTTACAGACTGTCAGCATACTTCGAAAAGCTGAAGAAGTAAAACGCAAAGTAATATTACAACAAACAGATGATGGAAATAATGGAAATAATAGTGCAGGTAAAATTAATTAACGACCTTCTTCTTCTTTTCCGCTTGGAAAGTATCAAGATATTTATTATACTGAATTTTATATCATAATTGTTAGTTGCTCATGATAAAATAAATATTCATCTGATTGTTTCATAAAAAGGACAAAAAATATATATAAATTAAATCTTTATTATTATTATTTTTCTCGTAGTTGAAAAGAAGAAAGTTGTAGATGAGAAGAAAGTTCTAGAAGAGAAGAAAAATGTAGAAGACAAAAAAGTTTCAGAAGAGAAGAAAGTTCCAGAAGAGAAGAAATCTGTAGAAGAGAAATCAGCCAGTAAGGTAGAAACTTCAACTAGTGGTGGAACTAGTGATAAATCGCTACGTTTGCTAGAAAAGGAATTGCAAGATCTCAAAAGAGTAAGTTTTAAATATTCATCTACCATGTGACATAAAGTTCTGACTGAACGAAGCACGAGCCACCTGTGCTGTAGATATTGTGTTGTGTGCTGTAGATGTTATATAAGTGAACGTGTTTATAGGGTATTAGCGACTCACCCTCGCTCGGCCCAATTCGTCCCTAGTTAGGTTTTAACGTTTAGCATAGATTTCTCAGAGATGAGGTATTTTTGGTAAAAAGTATCCTATATGTTGACCCTTTTTTTTTTTTTTTTTTAACGTTGGGAAATGCATTTACGCACGACGTGTGGGACTCACCAGCGTAATACAGCCAGTACTACCCACTAAAACCCAACAAAACCTTCCCCCGTCTTAATGGGGCGTCGCAGGATCGCTTACGCATTCAACTACGACGCCCCGACGGCAGGTCTGCCGAAGCAGACCACAACAACCACGGGGTTGCTCCACAGTCCACTCTGCTATCAGAGAAGTACCAGGAGCAACCCGCATGGTACACTGCCCTCCAAAGAGGGCCACCTCCTACCGCCCACCGAAGTGGGCCTCCTCCCTGTGCGTTTCTTGGCTTCGCGCCCGGTTGGGTTGCCGGGCACTACTGAGCCCCCCCACCACGACAAGGTGAACGCACGTTGGGGGGGAATCCTATATGTTGACCCGGATAACCAGCTATCATACCGTTCATCAAAATTTGCCCAGTGGCTTTCTCGTGATGCGGTGACAGACAGACAAACATTTTAAAAACTATAAATTCGGCCTCTATATCGATAATATTGACTATTTCAATAAGATTTTCCAAAAAATTTTAATGTACGGACTCAACTCAGAATGTTATTATATGTATAGATTACAGATCTAAGCGGCAGACAGAAATAGCTAGACACACAATCTTATAATTATGACACCTAGAGTTGCTACTGGAAATTTCTATGATAGAACAACATTCACATGAGCATTGCTTTTGTTACTTAAATTACAAAGTAGTCTATATTAAAACTACATTGGTCGCAATGGTACTGACCATCTAATACATTATCTTTATATATTTTCAGACAAATAGCCGTAACGAAGCAACTAAAACTCCAATAAAAGTGACTGAAACTATTAGAAATAAACGCCTGCAACTTCACACATCTACGCCAAAGTTAAAGTATGTATAAAGTATTTTTTTGCCTTTTAGGACTTTTCGCGGGTTTATTTTGATTTTTTGCTGACCTTATGAATACTTTACAACAAGCATGATCACTTTTGTAAGTTAAATATTATACTGCTAAGAATCTAAATTAATTTGTTAGTTATAATCAGTCAACATAATCAATATTTTAAATTACAGATCTGTTGAAGAAAAAAAAATGCCTGTTCTAAACAAATCTTACGCAGTAGACAAAAAGCTAGAAAAACGCGTCATAACCAAAGAGAATAAAGAACCAAAAGAAGTGAAGGAATCTAAAAGTAGTAATGTTAGCAATAAAGAAGAGAAAGATAAGGACACACCAAAGGTAGTTAAGTAATTAAAATAGCCTGGCATTTATTTTTATTGTAAACAACTAACTATATATTAAAAGACTAGCGAGTCGCCCTCGCTTCGCTAGGGTTCGTCCCTAGGTTGCTTCCCCATACAATCATTTCCTCCCATCCTCATTTTCACCCCCTTAAGGGATGATTTCCGGGATAAAAACTATCCTATGTTCTTCCTAGGGTCTCAGACTATCTTCTTAATAAAATTCATCTAAATCGGTTCAGTAGTTTCGGAACCTATTCGGTACAAACAAACAAAATATTAGTATAGATAATTATATAAACTATGAGTACAATTGCTTTAGACTTAGTTTTTTAACTCACTTTAAACTAAATATCTGTAACAAAACAATTACAGAGTGTAATCAAAAACGGTTCAAATAGTGATAAGAGCAATTCTGATGATGTGATCCGTCGATCAACGCGACCGTCTAAAATAAAGAACTACGCAAAAATGATACGTGACCGATCGCAGGTGGACTCTGACGAGGAGTCCAGTAATGAAGATGACGAAGAGTATAAAACTGTGGAAGTGAGCATATTTTGTTTTTTATTACTAAATTTAGCAAAATGTTTTCATTAACATACTGGCGTCCTCAGGTACGAGGTATTTGTTCAAAATTTCACCTCTATACTTTTTCTAAAATAAAAGGAGACTACATCCTTATAACATCAGCTTTCTGGCAGTGAAAGTCCCGTCAAAACCAGTTCAGCCGTTTTGGAGATTAGCCGAAACAAATAGACAAAAACGTTAAAAATTGTTATTTTTTTCTTCTAAATTGCATATGTATGTACTTTTTATGCATTCAATAAAAACTAAATTGTAAAGATTATTTAAAAGAGTTCATATAATCTTTATACAGAAAAACCACTAAAGAATGGGTATTCTTTATTTATATTTTCCTAGACTCGTCGAGTCCAAGTTCGTCGCGTGAGTTTATCAAAACCGGCGCCCGCGCCTGCGCCTGCCGTCGCGCCGAGGAAACGAGGGCGACCAAGAAAAGGACCCCCCAAGGAAGTGTGAGTTAAAAATCAGTATCATAATTATAATAAGACAACACGTTTGGCTCAGTTTGTAGTGACCCTATTTTCTGTGCCAGCGGTTGCGGTTCGAGTCCCGCTGGTTTGTACTCCAGTCATGGATGTTTGTTTTTTTAATATGTATTTATTTAAAGTTATATATGTGTAGTATATCAACTATCTGGTATCCATAACACAAGCCTCGTAGCGTACCGTGGAACTAGATGGCGATGTGTGTTAACGTCCCGACGTATTTATAATTTAAAAAAACACGCTTTAAAGATGATCCGAACAAAAAAGTATAAAATTAAAGAGTGCGTGTATGAATGTGTACACGCCCAAGAAGTAAAACTTCTGTAGGTTATCGGTACCTACTCTTTATGAAATTCAATGTATGTTTTAAATAATTAGGATAGGTGAGATACTAAAAATATCGCATATTATTCATATCACAATCATATATTTATAGAATATTATTTAAGGAAAGAATATAATATTATATATCATTTGTCAGACAATAATAACCGTTACCATGGCAACAAACGTACGTACATTTTTTCGTAACTCATTCACCAGCTTACCCTTCAAGTCAAGAGTGCGTTAAGAAGTTTTATCTCAACAACTATAATCCCACAGCGTTAAAAAAATTGTATCTAAAAGGCTGACATGATGCTTAATTTTTACTAATATATTATACGGCCATTGGGTCATGATTCCTGATTTATCTCATTTAAATGCATCTTCAATTCTCTGTTCCAACGATATGCCTCTGGTTCCCGCTGTCGCAAACTCTAGGAGAGAGGAGAGAATGGTACACAATATATAAAGAAATACATACATATAAAAAAAGATATACGTTAAGTATTATATTTTTAATTAACAGTCCGGCAAAAGTACGGAAAGAAGACAATGAAGAAGTTGAAGACGAGAAAGAAGAGAACACTACACAAGAATCTAGTATCATTAAAGAAGATAAAGTAGAAAATGCTACCAACAATGTTCAGGTATGAATAAACAAGCTTAAAACAGCTAGTTAATTGAAATAATTTTGAAATAAATTTCATACGCGCAATACGTAAATGCGTCTTTAAAGTTTAATTACCTGGGTGACCTTTTTCGAAAATGAAAAAAAATGCGTTTTTCAAAAAATATATTATAAACATATGATTCACGCTTGGCTCAGTTTGTAGCCGCCACCGCTGACACAGCAAGTAGGGTCACTACTTGCTGAGTCAGCGGTCGCGGGTTCGAGTCCCGCTAGGGGTATGCATCTGTGTGATGAGCACGAATGTTTGTACTCTGGTCATGGATTTTTATATTTATAATATGTATGTATTTAAAGTTATATATATGTGTAGTGTATGAACTATCTGGTATCCATAACGCAAGCCTCGTAGCTTACCGTGGAACTAGATGGAGCTGTGTGATGTCCCAACATATTTATATATAGATAAACTTAAAAAGTAAACCCTTATCTAAATACAAAATTTGATCAAAATCATTAGTTCTAATTCCGAGGTACTCGAAATAAGTTTATATACATGATGTCATGACACAAGATGTGAAAAGTGATGTTCTCATTTCAGAGCATTAATAAAACTCCAGAACCCAAAAATCCTCCGACCGACGTTCTTGTGTCGCCGACAGGGCAAACATTGAAAAAGGTAAATTTTTATCTATGCTACGATAAACGTGAATTTGAATTTTAAAAGCGCTTGTCGATTTGAACATTTAGACATTTATTTTGATAAATATTAGCTTTATAATATACATAAATTCTACATAATATCATTTTGTTTAATGATGATGACTCCCCGACGGATTTTGGTCACGGCGACTGCTGCAATTTTAGATATGTAGATGTCGTCCATGTGCTCCCATATGTCCATATGTATATTGTAGTCAATTCTTTGAGAAGGTACACATCCATTGCGGATATATGAGCGCATTATGATTATTGTATCTGATCGCCACAGATGGCGGGCTTTCATGTAGTCGCGTCTGGTACCAAGGTCAGACCGACGACGCTTCTCCGAATCTGTTTAATGTTTCCCTCTTTAACGATTACAAACTTTTTGTAGTCTACAAATATTTCAAAACAAACTCAATGCAAATTTCATTGCAATCAGTCGAATTCATCTAAAGATATATCTTGAGATTCCATTTCTAAAGTGTCATATAACTAAATAGGATTCCAAATGTACGCTAACCCGTAATCTCAGAATTTACTGGCTAGTACAATATTGTTTATGTAAGATCAGGTACCTTTATAATCAAAAACATTATTTTGTTTATATTTATGTGTTTGGTAATTGATAAATTAAAAAATATTTACAGGTACCTATAAAAGCTCTGCCACCCGGCGTAAAACCTTTACCTCTACCATTAAACGCTAGACGTAAGTATACCATTCATGTATTTGTTATAAACAATTACACAAATTTATATTGTTTATTTAAAGTATTCATTAAATATTATAATATTTAATAATATAATATTGATAAACTTATTTATTTTGTAGCTATGCCGACAGGGGAACTATGTGAAATGCAAATCGGCAAGAAAGTAGTGAAAGTGCAAAAAATAGTAATGACAAAAGCTGAGGTTGAAGCCATGGCTAAAAAAGGTCTCGTGGAAATGAAGGTAAGACTACTAAATAATGACGCAACATTAAAATTGCATAACTTATTTAGACCGTGTATTGTATGTACATAACGTGTATACGTAACTATTAAATTGTATATATATAATATACTATTGCATAATTTTCATCCCTTTATAATAAATTTATTTAAATAAAAAATTAATTTCAATCAAAATCATTAAATGATCAACGGTTTGTTTCAGGATGGCACGATGGTTTTAAAGCAAGGTATCAAGCTTCCTACTGTCGATTCATCATCTATTAAATCAAGTTTAATTGGAGAAGGTGAATGACTGCTTTTAAGTAATTATTAAAGATTATTTTTTTTAATTAATTAAATGCAGAATCTGTATTTTTTTTATTTCAGAAGTTGGAAAAGAATCTCCTACTAAAAAAGATAAAGCAACGCCGACACGATGTGATCTTGGAGAAGATTCATAATAAAATTCTGTAATGATTATTTAAGCCTTAAAATTATGTTATTATATTTAAGCGTAAACATCATGATGAAAATGACATATGTGAGGCATTTTAATGTCAGTTATGTTAAATGTAGTGTGGTAAATGCATTTTTACCTTACGTATTTTCTCTTAATATTTTAGTGTATAAAATACCTAATATTTTTTTGACACAAAAATTATGTATAAGTATTTAGTTGAATATAATTAAGATGATGATTGATTAGTAAAAAAACTAGAAACTAAATTGAATTCAATTCGTATTTTCAAATGTTTAGAATTAAGTCAGTCACCTTTACACATAAAAACATATTGTATATTTTTGTGTTGACTATAAGAAAATAGATGTATTAAATAAAATAACTGATTTTTCTTAATATGACCCTTATTTTTATTTAAACCCAAAATATAAGATCGTCTTAATAGAATTTGAAAATCATTTTCTACTTGCTTATGTGGTTAATTGTACGATATCATTGTCAAACGTAAGATGTTTATTCATTACGTATAAAAATATATTTATACCTTCATAATTAAGACACTGCATTAATTATTAATAATTACTTTATCTAATGGTGTGAATATAGTTAGTATAGTTTATCTATACTGATATTATAAACAAAGCAGAGCTTGTTTGTTTGTTTGAACACGCTAATCTCAGTAACTACTGATACGATTTAAAAAAATCTTTGCATTCGATAGCCCGTTTATTGGTCTATATATCATCATGCTACTAACCAAGGGAGAGGAGCAGTAACAATATATTACAGTCTATCTATTCCATACTAAACGTTAAAACGTACCTAGGGACGAACACGAGCGAAGCGAGGCTGAGCCGCTAGTGGTGTCATAAGTATTATACTTATGATTATAATAATCAGTGAATAAATGCTTAATAATTTGAAATATATTGATAAAGCCGCTATTCCATACTAGATGGCGTTATATGATTACGATTGCCTATTACTTATAAGAGATGTCGCTACAATAGTTTCCCGCCAATAACCGTGTCATGATTTACAGTGTGAGGCGGCTTGTTCAAATTGTGTACAGAATAATCAAACGACATCAAAACCGCGCAACAGTCGGGTGTGAGTGAAAATAACAATTTTTTTTAACTCTTAATATATTTGAATTCATAGTGTTTGCTGTGGAAGTTACAATAAAATATATAAATAAAAGTGAACTCTTAATTAATGTGAGTAATTTTTTTTTCTAAATATTTTTATTGAGCTATTTAATGTTTTATATTTTGAAAATAGCAATTATTTTCTATTTATGTTAATATAAAATAAATAAATTATATCATTAAATATTTTACTATTCAAATAAGTGCCTATATATTTTTTCTTCGTAATTATAATTATCTCATAAAAAACCTAGTAAATATTTTGATGTTGAAAATACATTAATTGATTATTATTATATTTTCTGTCCAAATGAAGCTTAAATTATGATGTAAGGTATACAATAGGTACTCTAAAAGCTCTAAATTCTAAACGTTATATAATAAAGGTATATATCAGTCATAGATTTTTTTTCTTCAAAGTCTAAAACTGTAGTAGTACCCACCCGATAATATTGTCTTCGTAATTATAAATTATGTTTTTCATCGGGGTCATAGAGATTTGCTAAGCGATTGATAAGATCGAAAAGATAAGATAACAATTTGTACCATAATAGATTAAGATTTTAATAGCAGCAAATTATAAACAATAGATTTAGTAGGTATGAAAGTTGCAAGTTCTTCTACTTTTCATTATTTATGTATGTATATCTGTCTTGGAATAAAAAATTTGTTCTAGGTATATTCTCAGTATTCACGTAAAATTGCCGTAAGAGTGAAAATGAATATTTCGTCTAGTTAAGTCATATTTGTTAATATAACACTGAGAAGTATAAATCAGAAGAGCATACAATGTGAACAAAAGTGAACAAATTTTCTGTCAACTTAGATCGTTAGCTGAAAAAGTCACACTAACGTGCTAATAAGGATGTACCTACCTAAGTTATATTCTGATTAACTTAACCAAAAAAATAGCGATTGTAAACCGTCCATTAACTATAATTCAAAATACTTCTATCAACAAATACAATTAACTATAAATAGGATATTGAATTATAAATAGGTATTACAAATTCTTTGTGTCTCAAAATGTGATATAAGTAATCAATACATCATCTTATCAACACTTAAAAATATCAATAAAATAAGTGTTTTAAAAAAATAAACAAATCCACCTATCAGCATCTTTTCAGAAAATTCAATGCAGAATTTATCCAAAGTCGCTGTTAAGTATTGATTGTATGTATTAAGTAGGTATGTTCATAGACATGGTTCTTCAAAACCTTCGGCATTCACGAATAAATATTATTACTTATAACAAAGAGCAAACGTAATCAAATAAAACAATTAGCAAGCAAGCTTACGTCCTAATGTGATTTGGAATATTTAAATTACACGCATTTTAATAACCATTCCTTGTCGAACGTACACACAAATTTATATAAATAAAAATGAATGTTTGCATATTTATCCTCTATGCTTTTCAAAACCATTGATCGAATTGTGATGAAACTCTGGTGGATTCTTCTGTAAATGCCTGCAGTGGTTCCTGGTGTCAAAAGAAAAAAATATTTTTCTTTGGGCGTTTGTCTTTTATGCGTTCATTGTAAAAATAAAGGCTTTCGCTGTAAGATCTGTCCCTGGTCTCTATTTTTATCGTGTATTGTTCTAATGAAGCTATGAACAACTATTTTCAACTTTTCTCGCATACCACCAAGATAGTTGCATAAAATAATTGCTAATTTTACGAATGGGCTATTCGTATATAGCTACGAGTTAGTATACCCCTTTATTTATGTGTTAATCAGAACCTTTGAATAAATAGTAATAGCCAATTTCGCATAACGTCCCTGCAATTTGTAATTAAGACCATCTGTCTCCAATACGAACTGCTCTAGAAAAACATCATAAAATCATGATCTACATCATATTGTGATGCTCGGCCGTGGTTATATGATAGCTAACGTGACAAGTGTGACGGAGGCACAATGGTGGTGGAATTTGTTAACGTCACATTACTGCGGAACGAATCTACTCACACGCTATTACTCTACAGTCTTCACGCTACTAAATCAGTGTAAAATTTCATCTACTATAATTTGTTTTACTATTCAACTACAATTGTCGATTCTATTACATTTGCTCATTTGTTATTATTATATAAACTATATATTTGTAAATATTAGAAGGTAACTTCTTCTTGAATTTACTGATAATAAAGTAAAGGTAATGTAATAAATGCATATTTTGAGGGTAAAATAAGCAAATCAATTGAACCTAAAAACTTTTTAACAAAAAAATAAAAACCGACTTCAAACAAAAGCACTAAAAAGTAAAAAATAACTGATTGGTAGTTTTCATTTACTATACATACCTAATCAAATATTTTCGAAGTCGGTGTGCTTTTAGTGTAGACAGGAGTAGCAAAGTAAGAATTCTAAAGTGTTAGGCTTGTCAAACCAAACAAAATAAGCCCAAACTCAAAGTATCTACTATTAGTCGTTGAAGAGTTCCACCTATCCACCTTCTGGCCTTACCATCAGATCAGGTCAACAATACCGAACCACTGTACTATCGACGGAAATAGAAACACTTGCAAAGTTTCAAGTCAATATAACAATTAGAAGTAGGTTAAATTCATTATTAGCTATTTTTAAAAAAAAAAAAAAAAAATACAGTCGAATTGAGAACCTCCTCCTTTTTGAAGTCGGTTGAAAATAGCGAAACAGGCGACTCAATAATCACGCCATCCAAAATAATAACGCGTTTTCTTATTGTCAAACATATCTACTACACACAGGGCTCTGTTTTAAACCGGTTGGTTTACAAAAGAGGGTAAATTTCGGTAATACAATAGTTGATACATCGCTCGTTCAATAAAGGGCCATTCAAGGGGAGCAAAGCAAAGACCCAGAAAAAATCACCAAAGGGGAGCAATGCAAGACCCAGAAAAAATACCAACCAATGGTTACGTAAGCATAGGAAGGGTGAGTAAGAGCTTTGTATACTTTTGATGACAAAGGGGATGAGGGGTTAATAATAATAAAATTCTGCGCACGTAATACTTGAATGGCCCCTAACCGGTTAATAAAAACGATCGGCTTAGTAAACCGAAATAATAATGGTTAACGGTTATTCTTAGAGAAAGATAAAGCTTAGGTTTTGATATCAAAATAAACCAGTTAATTTCAGAGACATACATATCCTTCTACTAAGCAACTCACCATTAGCAAAGTTTCGTTAGATATAAATGCACAAAAACTCAATTTAACCGATTAATTTTCGATGATAGAATCTAAATTCTTCAATAACCGTGTTCCGGGGTTTAACCGGTTAAAGAACATAATGAAACCTTAGACCGAAAAGCTTTTCCGTTTTGGGTCAATGACAAAAACCGGTTTAAAAATTGAACGGGTTTTCCCTGCCTACACGTATAAAGACGTACAGTCGTAATGAAAGTCGCCGACCTATGAAACTCCGACTGAGTTTCTGAATAGAATTCTCCTTGAAATGAGAATTAGAATAGAAGAAAAACATTGTTAAAGACTTATACACTATACAGTGTTAATTAATATAGTTTTTTTTAATTTCTACATTAGGTACTTTGTACCCGAAATAGTATTATATATATGTACCACTAAAAATGGTAGCATGACCTAATTTTTTTCGTTGCTATCATAATATAACTAATAAGATCAGTAGTGTACATCAATCAATCCAATTATACGGTATATTTTGTTACGTTAAGCTTTTTGTTGATACAAAAGAGTATTTAATCCTAGGCAAAATGTTTGCATAGCGAGATGGACAACATCAAACAAAATGAGGCGTATAAGAGATTCACCTTGAAAATGTCAGAAGTCTTCTCAATATAGATGTTTATTTCATACTAGCGACTCACCCTCGCTCCGCT